AGGGAGGCAGAGATATGGGCAGAGAGAGAAGCAGGTTCCTCACAGGAAGCCTGATGTGAAACTCAATCCCAGGACCCTGTGATCATGCCATGAGCTGAAGGCAGATGCTCAACTGCTGAGCCACCCAGGCATCCCTTGAAATTTACTTCTAATTAAGGGTGTAAATGTCACATTGTGTTACGAGTTTACCTTTTTACCTAATAGTTAACAATACTGTATTGTATACTTGAAAGTTGCTAAGATAGTACATCATATATATATATATATATATATATATATATATATATATATATATAAAATCATTATGTTGTACATCTAAAAAATGTTATGGCAATTATATCTTGGTAAAAATATAATTAAGTTAAAAATAAAAGATAGGAAGGATCATTTATATCATAAATTAAATTTTTGAACTAAGAATAGAGATGTAATTTAAATGTGTCACAGAGGCTAATATTCTGGATACCTCCTCAGGGTCTGTGATTAAAGCTGTATTTCAATATTAAAAAAGGTCAACTGAAACATACAACCAATGTCTAATTCAATTATAGTACTGTAAATTGTTTATTAGATTTTAAGCCCAGAAAGTATTCTGGACCAAAATCCAGTTCTTCTTGTGTCTGGGAGACTTCCGAAGTGAGCCTTTTTCTTTTTTTAAGGAGGAAGAGAAGGGAGTGAAGAAAAGCCTCCCTTTTGCTTTCCCTGTTCCATTCTTCAAAGCAACCAGATTTTAAGTCCATGGAATGCCATAGGTAATTCCAAAGACTACCATCTTCTTCTTCTTCTTTTTTTTTTTTAAGATTTATTTTTTTATTCATGAGAGACACAGAGAGAGGCAGAGACATAGGCAGAGGGAGAAGTGGGATCCCTGCAGGGAATCATGACCTGAGCCAAAGGCAGACTCTCAGCCACTGAGCCACCCAGGCATCCCTAAAGGCTACCTTCTTATATGAAGGTTGGGAAAGGAGCAACTTATGCATAAGTTAGACTGACTGATGACTCAGAAGAAGCATTAGCAAGCTGGAAATTTGAAGGGAGTTTATCCCCATATACCTAACAAGGTAGGCATCCTAGTTTAGGCGACTGTACTCATTTATATTATGTGAAATAGCCACGGGTATAGCAGAATCCAATAATCTGAAGCCATTTCTTTCTGAGACACACCTGGCCTTTTCCAGAGTCTACTTAACTGTGGAAGAGAAAGTGAAAGAAATGTCTCTTGCTGAATGCTTTCTTCTTGTTTCCTATATGGATAGCTAATTGGACCTTTTAAATTCTGTCTCTAAATCGTGATCTTTCTATTAGGGGCAATAAAAAAATCTATAGGTTCTTAGAGTTGTTTCTAGTTTAACTATGGTAATTGACCATGAATAAACACAGCATGTTCCAGGGACATGATTATTTGACTTTCAGCAGGGAAGCCCTCTGCTGGCACCTAATGCAACAGATTGAATTTGCTGTAGAACCACTGATGTCTGGGGCTGGAGCTGAGATGAGGGGATGGGCCAAAGAGCTTAGATGGATGTAATAGGAGGCAGATCAATTCTTCTTGGATCCAGAATAGCTCAGAGGAGTATATAGGTACACAAAGTGATGCATATTTTTACCAACAGTAGGGAACTAAAATCTGGGTAGGGGTGGCAGCTGGAGTCATCTTGCCTGTTAGTGTAAAAGTGACAGTGGCCTTAGTGACTATTTCAAGAGGAGAGGATAGTAGCAGGTGATGAAGAAATGAGTATATTTGCTCGTTTGTTTGGTCAGTCCACAAGCTGCTAGGACATCAGTGTTGTCTTAACACAGGTGTCAAGAATACACTAACTGCTCTTTGGTGTCAGCTGGCCTATTTTGTTTTTTAAGGATTGACTGTTAATGGTAGTTGTTGAACTAAAGTGAGAAAATTAACAGATACAAAGTGCACTGAAAAGTCAAGCTGCTGTACAATTGTAAGAGAGAGAGTATAGCATCAGAGTCAAGAGCATGGGTTTTAGGAGCACATGGGTTCCACAGACTAGCTTTCTGCCCTCACCAAGTCCCTTAATCTCTTTACACTCTATTCAACATATCTGTAAAGTGGAGACAGTGCTCTCATTGGCTAAGGCCAAGGCTCAGCCAAGTGGCTTTGTCATGACAGCAGTGGCCTGCATATAGCCATGGCAGTTGTAGAAGTGCAATCTCCTACCTTGATTGGATCACCACTTCCCTCTCAAAGTTTAAAGTTTCTCCTACCTACTACAGCTAATCGGCTCCTTTCAGTTATCCTTTCTGACTTCTCTGCAGCCTTTCATGCATCCCATAACTCCTTAAAGTTTTCTGCTGCTATGGCTTCTGTGACTTCTCTGATTCTTCACATAAACCTCTCTGACCACTGCTTCTCATCTTCCTCCTTAGCTTTTCCCCCTTTCCTTCTCTTAGATCGTGGTGTCCTCAGGGCCCTGTCCTTAGCCTTCCTCTGCTGTCTCCCTGGTTTTCCTTATTCATCTGATGGCACCTTTGGGCTGATGACTTATATCCCTACTCCAAACTCCTGTGTGTCATCTATCAAGATGGTTTATGGGACGCGTATTCGAAGGCCATCTGAAAGGAGAACCATCTTTCTGCCAAGAGCATGCTTCTCCTCTTTTTTTTTTTTTTTTGGACATTATCCAACCAGTCACTGAGCTATGAAACTTAAGAGACATCAACTGTTGGACCATTTTTTCATCTTCCAGGTTATCCTGGCCTCCAGGCCTAGCCATTTATCCCACTTATCCCGTCTCATTGCATATCTGGCGGGTTCCCTCCTCTCCATTGTCCTTGCCACTATTCACCCACTACTGCTAGGACAGCTTTGTGGTGAGCAAGTCATTATGTCCCTGGCCATTCAGCGCTGACAGGACGCACAACACAGCCTGTGAAGCCCCAGCCGATCCTTTGATCCTTTCGCTCTGCCACCCTCGCAGCCCAATCCTCCGCTCCTTCCCTACGGTCTCCCTGCAGCTCCTCTACCTGTTAACTTGGGAGCACCGCGTCCGTGCTCTTGTACTTTCTTGCCTTTCCCTCTGCCTGGCAGTGAAGATGGAATAGGTTAATGGGGATTAGGTCCCTCGCTAGCATCCTGTATAGAATTTACCTCGTTGTTGTAGGCTACTTACGGGGTATTTCTTCCACAAGACGGAGGTTTCCTCAGTCCAGGGATCCTGTCCTGTTCCCCGAACCTCCTCTGGTCCCTCCCTAGACCTTGTGGGCGCCCAGGGCACGGGATAAACGAACAGAAACACTGTCCTTATTCCGAGCGGGCTCTCGGGCTCTGCAGCTGACAGCCTGGGAGACCTGCCCCCCCGCCCCGGGGCCCCGGCGCTCCCCCGCCCCCCGCGGCGCAGGTGGAGCGCGGCCCGGCTGCTCGCTGCTTCGGGCCGGGCCGGGCCGGGCCGGGCGGCCGCCCGCGCGCCTGCGCCCTCTGCCGCTCGGCTGGCTCCGGGCGCGTCTCGGCGCGCGCGTGTCTAGAGGAGAGGCTGGGGTGACCGGCGAGGGTGGGGGGAAGAGTTCAGCCTGACTCCGTCTCAGTCACCGATTTCTCCGCGGCTGGGCCGAGGCTGCCTCTGCGGGCGGCTCCCAACTGCTCCGCGCCGCCGCGGTCCCCACCGGCCGCCCTCGCCTCCGCCCCACGCCGCGACCGACCGACTCGCGAGCGAGTGAGTAGCGGCGGCTGGAGCGCCCGGCGGCGCGGCGGGGTGGCCTCCGGCGGGGTGTGCGCGCGTGTGCGCGTGCGTGTGCGCGCAGGGATGCCCCTGGGATTCCACGGCGGGCCGGGGAGCCCCGGGACCGCGTGTCCCTCGGAGCCGGCGCCGCGGCGTGGGCGCCCGCGCAGGCAGGGGCGGCCGCCCCCGGAGCGCGGAGGGACTCGGCCGGGATTCCCCGGCCCCGCGCGGCCGCCGGTGGGGTTCCCCGGGAGGCGCCGGGGCGAGGAGGCGGCGGGGAAGCCCGGGCGGGGAGCGGCGGCAGGCCGGGGATCTGGGCGCGGGTCTCGGCCCCGCAGAGCCGCGGGAGCCGCCGGGGCCGTCTCCCCTCCCTTCCCCTCTCCCCTCCCCTCCCCTCTCCTCCCCTCTCCCTTCTCCCCTCCCCTCTCCCCTCCCCTCCCCTCCCCCATCCCCCTTTCCCCCTCCCTCTCCGCCTTTCTCCCCTACCCTTCCTCCTTTCTTCCCTCCGCAGCATCACAAAAGCGCGAAATGAAACCCAGTGCGGCCAAGTCCGGCTTCCCGCTCCCACCTGGTGCGCATCGCCCCGGGGGCCGGCGGAGCGGAGTGCGAGCCCCCGACCCTGGCCCCGGGACACACCTGTTTTCGCCTCTCGCCGAATTCGAGCCGGGGTGCAGGATCGCGCGAGGGGTCCCGACACATGCTCGCCGGCGTGCGCGTGTGTGCGTGTGTGTGTGCGCGCGCGCTCCCCGGGCCCACGCTCGCGGGGGGCGCTTGGTGCAAACAGCGCAGGTCTCGGGGGCCCCCGGGGCAGGACCGCTCGGGGGCGCCTAGCGAGCGGCGTGGCAGCGAGCCCGCGTCTCTTTGTTCGGCCGTTGCCTCCCCACCCCTCCGCAGAGCAAACTGATTTTCGGTTTCGCGTGACACTGCGCGCTGGGACTTGGTGTGGGCCGCAGCCTCAGATGCCCCCGGTATTTGAAATCGAATAGTTCTTTCGGGCTGGGGGGTTATTTTTAGCGTTGGGAATAGAGGGCTGGCGCGGTGACCTTTTTCCGCCGCTTTGCGCCTTACATACGTGTCTCTGATTGATGCAGCAGACGGATTCGCATCCAGTCGCGCACACGTGCTTGCGCACAAGTGTGTACACACGTTTCTACACACGTAGCTTTACCCCCTTCTTTTCTTCTCTTTCTTTTTTAAAAATTTTTATTAAATAGGTACTAGGAATGTACTGTTTGCAAACAAAACGAAACAAACCGAAGAACCAAAACCAAAACCAAAAAAAACAAAAAAAAACAAAAAAAACAAAAACAAAACCAACCCAAACCAAACAAACAAAAAAACTTTCCTTTGTTCTTCTGGGCATTTTTCTATTTTGAGTAATGGAGTAGGAGTACCGAAAGGTTGCAATTAGTTCACTCGAATAAAAGACACTGCCTCTGAGTCAGTGCTGCCAGGTTGATAATTACTAGCACATAAAAGCGGCTGCTCTGTTTAAGGCAAAAGGGGCGGGGCGGGGGCAGGTCCCCGGTAGACAATGAGGGAGGGTCTCCGCCGACCGCCTGCTGCTTATTGTTCGGGCGCTGGAGGCTGCAGCCTGCAGCCGCCGCCTCCTCCCGGGCTTCGCTCCTCGCTGGTCCCTCGGTCCCCCTTGGGGCCGTCCGAGTCACCCAGCGCTGGCCCTCGGGGCGCCGAGACGCCAACCCCAGCCGCAGCCGCCCTTCGCTGACCGCCCTCTCTCTGCTTTGCAGGTTGGCATCTTTGCGCCCGAGGGTGTCGCAAGCCGAGGCGGCGAGGACAGGGCGCCTGTGGCCCAGCCCGCCGGGCGCTATGCGGCGCGGGCAACAGCGCTGAGCGCCCCCACGCTGGGCACGGGGCGTACTCGCTCCAGGCGGCGGGCCGAGCGGCGGCGGCGGAGGGGATGCGCCCGGGACGCGCAAGGCTCCCGCCGCGAGCTACCGCCCCGAGGTGGACCCCAAGCAGGGCTCATCGCAGGACCGCGCGGACCCCTGCCCCGCGGGGCACGCGGCTGCGGAGCCTCGGGGCCGCCTCTGCCGTCGGGATGCCCTGGGTGCCTCTCTGCTGGTGAGGATGCCCTGCTGCGCGGCTCTGCATCACCAGCCCCGCTCCCCGGTGGGCACGACTGAGCGGGCCCGACTTCGGCCCCTCGCGCTGGTGGATGAAAAGCGCCGGAGCCCCTGAGTGCGATCTGCGATCGAATCTGAGTTCTAAGAGCCATGGACGGAGGCGCTGGGTTGCAGCCCCGGGCGGGAGAGCCGCTGGAGGCACGAGCCACAGTCGGAGCTGTCCAAGACGAGTGCGAACCGGAGACCTTTAGGTCCAAGAGTTTACCGGTCCTGAACAGCGCCTCCTGCCGGCCAGACCTCAGTCCTGTGCGTGCAGGAGCCGAGCCCTCCGTCGGCTGCACAGATTCTTTGGGCCAGCGGGGGTTGCAACAAGGGCCCGGCCGGTTGGCCCCCAGTCCCTCTGCCCCTTCCACTTCGGCAGAGATGGCAGGGCTCATGGAGTGTAACCACAGGGTGGACGTCAGCAAAGCCGTGTCGGTGTCCTCCGCTTTGGCCACGCTCCAGGGGAGAAGGTGCCTCTATGTGGTCCTCACCGATTCCCGTTGCTTCCTGGTTTGCATGTGCTTTCTGACCTTCATCCAGGCTTTAATGGTCTCTGGGTACCTGAGCAGTGTCATCACCACCATCGAAAGGCGCTACAGCCTGAAGAGTTCCGAGTCGGGGCTGCTGGTCAGCTGCTTTGACATTGGGAGCCTGGTAGTGGTGGTGTTCGTCAGCTACTTTGGTGGCCGGGGTCGGAGGCCCCTGTGGCTGGCCGTGGGTGGACTTCTCATTGCCGTTGGGGCTGCCCTCTTTGCTTTACCTCATTTCATCTCGCCTCCGTACCAGATCCAAGAGTTGAACGCCTCGGCCTCCAACGACGGCCTGTGTCAGAATGGCAACTCCACGGCGCCTTTAGAGCCTCCCGCCTGCCTGAAGGACTCGGGAGGAAATAATCATTGGGTCTATGTGGCTTTATTCATTTGTGCACAGATTCTCATTGGAATGGGTTCCACACCTATTTATACCCTGGGACCAACCTACTTAGATGACAATGTCAAGAAAGAAAACGCATCCTTGTACCTAGGTAAGACTTTCCTGTCTTCTCAAATAAGCTTGAACTCAACAGTCAAAAGGAAACACTTCCAAATTTCACGAGAGATTTTATATATATACACACACACGATATATACAGCATCTCATTATATATCTCACACATATATACAGTATATATAATGTCATTATATGTATTGCATGTATATTTTAAGCATTACGCTTCAGTTTATGTTTTCATGTTTTAGTCTTAGTGTGATATGTTTTAGTTTGGAAGAGAATTAATGTAGTAGGTCTGTGGGCTAATCATCAGACTCACACTTCACACTCTTCTCCCAAGTAATACAAACTTTTAACTATGGGGTGGTGCTTCTTTCTTGTGCTGCCTGCTTTTGTAAAAACTCTAATTTATCAAGTTTATCCTCTAATGGCTGTTCTTCTAGAAAGTTCAGGAAGGAATAGAAGTACCTGGTATGTGGTGTGAAGTTTTGGATTCTTTACTGCTTTCATCCCCTGCTGCTTCTCATTCTTGTCCCCCACATCAGGGCTGATAGAGTACCCAGACTACCTAAAAGATGCTTTACTGCCTACACACCTGTATTTTTTACCTAACACCTGCATCACCATTAAAACAAAACAAAAACTTGAGTGATATCAAATGACTAGGTTATCTTTATGCAGAAGCAAGATCACGAGTTGTAAAGTTAATCTAAAGCTATTTTTATTGCTGGTTGAAGACCCTTAAGTACATGAACATGGTAGCGAGTGGCTCTTGGATGTGGTGATTTGACTTGCATGAATCAGCTCCTGTGAACAGGGGGTGCTTGGGTTAAATAGAGGGTGCTAACATGAGGCCAGACAGCCATGGTAGCAGATAGGAAAATGCAATGTCCTGGAAATCTGTGTGGTTGTCAGCATCTCCCTATACTAGCTGCTCCTCCAAAACTGAGCTTTTAAAGGGATGGATTTGAACCCTTGAGAAGGATGAACAGCAGTCATGCTAGATGAGATCTTTGTTTTTCTATATTTCTATACTGGAGTCCTAACTAAAATAAGAGAAAGGATTGTACTTTATGAAACATGGTAAATAAGCAAATACTAGTTATACTTACCATTTTATTAGTCATGCAGTGATAGGATCTTGGGTGTGGGAATAACAAGGTTTCCAAGGATGGTGAAAATGATACCCCATTAAGAGGGCTGTGCTCTTTCCTCAGCATAACTGCTGTCTCCCAGAATCCATAGTAGAGGTGTCTGAGCCATGTATAGTTCCCAGTAACTGGCCCAAATGCATTAGGACAAGAGTTTTATAATTTATTTTTATTATTAAATGCAAGAGAAAGAAATTTTCCTTCAGGACACTAGCTTGCTTGTTACTTTGCCATCTTGTTTTCTAACATTTATTACAACAAATTTTCAAACAGAAAATTTGAAACAATGAACACCAGTATTTCCTCCACCTAGACTCAGTAATCGTTCATTTTGTCATATTTGCTTTATCAACTGTGTGTGTGTGTGTATGTAATATATTTTTTTGGGTGGGGGGCTCAGCCCTTTGAAAGTAATTATAGACATCCCTAGGTTTCAGCCTGTATCTTATAAAAATAAGGACTTTCTTTTACTACATATTTACAGGAACTTTAACGTGCTAAGTTCATAATCATTCCCTAATATCATCAAACATCCAGGCTCTATTCAAATTTCTTCAATTGTCTGTTCAACATCTTTTATAACTATATGTTTTTCAGACCAACAGGCAGTCAAGATTCTCATACATTGCATTTGGTCACTAACCTTTTTAGTGATTTTATCACTTGTCTTCCATCCCCTATATTTCTTGTATATTGGAAGTTCAGTCTAAAGGTTTGAATAGATTCAGATGAAACATTTTTGGTCAAACTACTTCAAGTTAATTTGGTGTGTTTTATGTTACATGTATCTGGACATTTATTAGTGATGTTAATAAGTTTAATCACTTGGTTGAGTTGGTGATTGTTAGGTCTTTCCATTGTAAACATGCATTTCTCCCTTTGAAATTAATAAGTAATCTGGGGGATCCCTGGGTGGCTCAGTGGTTTAGGGTCTGCCTTTGGCCCAGGGCATGATCCTGAAATTTCAGGATCGAGTCCCACACTGGGCTCCTTGCATGGAGCCTGCTTCTCTCTCTGCCTGTGTCTCTGCCTCTCTCTCTGTGTCTCTCATGAATAAATAAATAAAATATTTAAAAAAATGAAAATATTAAGTAATCTTTAGAATGATAACTCTGTAGATATTCTAGTTGTTATTCTTATTTTTGCTGATCTTTGCCTCCATTTACTTTGAAAACTTAGATTCCTTTCCACTCCACTTCGTAGATACCATTCGTACAAATTTGCTTCATCAAAAACACAGGTAGAGCCACACACAAAGAGAGAACATCCACTAGTAAGAGCTCTGAGATTTAACTTTTCTAGTTGTTGCCCACTGAGAAGAAAAACAGCAGGTGCTACTTTTGGGAAGACCGAAAATGAGACAGAGTCCCTGTACCTGAAGAGCTTTCAGTATAACAAAGAAATATTGCCAATTCAAGGGAGGAGTGTGAAGTGACACATGCAAGGGGAAGAAATTTATACAAAGGGTACTTGCTTTTTCATCCTTCTATTCCTCTTTCTCCCCCTTCCCTTCCTCCTCCTCTTCTTTTGAAAAAACTTTGATGAGTGCCTTAGGACACGTTCTTTGGGAAACTCCTGAGAATTCTTCATATTAAATGGATCTCAGTAAAAGCTACATGGTTTGAGTGCCAGGAATCTTACCTGTACTATTTTATTTAATGTTCTTAATGGCCTCATGAGATGGGATTGTTTTCCCTATTTTCCAAGGATGAGGAAATCGAAGCTCAGAGAGTTTGAGTGTCTTGCTTAAGGGCTTCAAACCCACACATCTCTGGCCCCAGAGCCCTCGAGCTTCCCTCCTCACTGCATGTTTTTTTGGCGAGAAGCTCTGGGAGCCAACTGAAACCAAGGGCTATCCCGTGTTCAGCAGAGCTCTGAGAATGGTGCAGAAGGATGCAGAACTGGCCTACAGTTATCAAACAGGATCAAAACAAAATCCTTCCTAAACCTTTTCCAGCAGGTTTTATAGGTAACCTCCATGTAAATTCAAAGGAGAGAGACTACTAAGTTATTTTTAGAATATAAGGGACGTTAACCTGTTATGATGGGGGGATTTTTTCTAATAAATAACTGGTTCGATAGCTTTGTTATTTTCCACAAAACTGTTCTCTGTTACCTTTTCACTATCCACTCCTTTCTGAATTTTGTCGGTCTTTCTAATTTCTCATTGCAACCATACAAGAAAAGACAAAAGCAGGTAGACGTTTGGTATTTGTAGGCACAAACAAATATCTGAATTAGCATTGAAACCATTGCAATGGAATGTAAATGTATGTCCTAATCTTTTGAGTGTTTGGTGTTAACATTCTTTTTTTTTTTTTTAAAGATTTTATTTATTTATGGGAGACACAGAGAGAGAGAGAGACTGAGAGGCCGAGACACAGGCAGAGGGAGAAGCAGGCTCCATGCAGGGATCCCGATATGGGACTCGATCCTGGGAATCCAGGATCACGTCCTGGGCAGAAGGGAGGTGCCAAACCACTGAGCCACCCAGGGATCCTGGTGTGAACATTCTGGCCGCTTTAACTGTAGAAGAGCTGTGGTCATAGACGAGATATGGCAGCTTTTATACCCACTAAATGCCCTAAATCCTTCTGCAAGGAGAGAGCTTTAGTGTTGACCTGGAGGGTAGAGAAAGCTTTGTACTATTAAGAAGCAAGGTTAGTAACTAGACCAGGATTTGTAATTGTATCTCAAGAGGGAGAGAAGAGAGAGAGAGAGAGAGAGAGAGAGAGAGAGAGAGAGAGAGAGAGAGAATGTGGTCCTTTGAGGGCAAGATTTTAATGAACCAACAGTGAAATGAGAAAGAATGGCTAACCGAGTGGGAAAGGGGGGGGTTAAAAAGGGAGGCATTTCCAGAATAGAAAGCCACAACCCTGATTGCGGGATCATCAGGATAAGTAATGATGGGCACGGCCGGTTGGCCCAGCGCTGTGGGTGCGGCCACTGCGCTTCCCTGGTGTGAGAGCCCTGACTTCACACCGCCAGAGCAGGGGCGGACTTGAAGATCTCTATTTTAGTCTGGCTCTACCAGTGATGGGGGGGGAGGGGTGAGACTTGAGACAAATCCCTTAACGTCTCCCAGCCTCTGTTTCCGCCTGGAGATTAGTACATTTGTTTCCCTCACTGTAATATTTTGAGGACCAAATGGGATTACATGTGTGCAAGCATTCTGCCAACTGTAAGAGGCAGCACTCTGCTGTGTTCAAGTGGAATCCAGACTCGGCCCACAGAGTGGGCAGGCTGAGGAGTGAGATATTTTACTCTCTCTGCGTATGAAAACCCTTAACCAGATCTTTTTATAGTTGGGAAAAAGGGAAGAAGCAGCGTGTAGGAAATGAAGACATTGTAGGGGAAATCGCTCCTCAGAAACACTGTACGGGTTCGATTTGATCAGCGTTTCAGCAGCATCATCTGCTGATTGAGTTTTCGGAGAACCCAAGATTTTATTACCAGTGCTTTCGGCATGTCAGGCTTTGGTGGCCGTGTTTCACACAGAAGTGTGTGAACGTTTATGCAATGTGTATTTGGGCCCAGTGTAACATAACAAGAGCCCTCTTGAAGTTTGAGGGGGCTCTGTGGTGTCCCAGTTTCACTGCTGTGGGTCTTCTGGCAGGACCCCAGACTGGCAGGACGTTTGGTCACCAAGAATTGGTCCAAGGACATCCTCAGAAGTAATATTATTGTCTTAAAATAAATAGCTGGTGGCTTCTCCTTTTTTTTTCTTTTTTCTTTGGCATTGCCTCAGTCTTTTAAAAAGTACAGTGAGGTTAAAATCAGTTGAGTTCTATTTTTTCCAGATTTCATAGTATAAACATTATATATGTGTATGTATAGATGTGTGCACAAATATACATATTTGTGCTCTTTCACAGTTTTTTTT